ATGAGCCAAACAGTGAGAGCATTTATCTTGGCAGTGATACCAAAAAAACTTTCTTAGTTATCCCTCATGTCGTTTTCAGAATTAACAGCTGAGTCACAATGTGGAGGGGGGCAAAGAAATAAAAAGAAAGAAAAAATCCCAGTGGACTGAGATACTCCTACGTGATGCCATGAGCTCCAAACCTGCAGCCACATCCATCCATGCACACTCTCAGCCTGTTAAATCCGTGATGACTGCTGCTCGAGTATGCTTTGAAGGCTATGTCTAGCACAGACCCTCAGATGGCTGGAGCTCAGGCAGATGCAGCCACATTCTTGGCAGGTCTTCTCAGGGTCATCTTTGATGTAGAGAAGTGCTTAGTATTGTTTTCTGCATTGATGTTTGCCCTTGACACATGGATGGAAACGTCCTTGTGCACGGTGGCCCCTCTGTTCAGCTCAGCAGCCTGCAACTTACTGCCTGGACATAACTTTTTTTGGAGGTCCCTTTGTAACACTACAAGGGCTCCTTTGCTCTCCTGGCTGGTTCTCAGTTGCTCATGAAGCAGCAGCATCTGCTTCCCATCTCCTCTCAATACATGCATACAAGCAACAAATTTCATTTCGATCCGTCACTTCACTGGGAGGATCTGCTCTTGCCCAACAGGTGTCCAGCTTCAGATATAGAAACATGAACTTCTTTCTGATAAAGGATTAAGGACACGTGCCCCGTAAGTCCAACCAAGGACAAAGAACTCACAAAAGGAGATAGAACCTTTGCTCACTGACTAAACTCTTAGATCCAGATCATCAAATGGCAGTGGTGAGGGACACAACATTTACAGAAGTGAGAGTTCAGCTTCCAAATATATTTGCTGATAAAGGTTTAAATTCTTATTCCTTTAGTGTTTCATCAATTTCATCACCACTTCTCCTAAGCTGATGTCTAGTTCGCATTCAACATCCATACAGAAAAGCTCAGGAGCCACGGTTAAGGCACGGCAGCTGGAGGTAAGGGAGTTCACACAGGCCAAGAGTAAGTTGGTCTACGCAGGTTCACGTTTCACCTTGTGCTTAATGGATGCCTGATTAGAGATGAGGCAGCTCAGAGCAAAGAGGTTTAAAAAGCCATCAGGCTCTTTCTCCAGCTTTCAAGCAGCTGTGGGAAGGCAGATTACCTGCCCTCTCCCACAGTTATCTTCCATAAATGGTTTCAAGAGAATTCCCTCTTTGGCTGCTATCATCACACTTCATTAGGAAAGAAATGCCAATACCAAAGAAGCTTTTCCACCCACTACAAACACCTCCAGCAGCTTCCTCTTAGCTTTCACCATCTCTCAAGGACCGCACATCACAAAGTACGTGCATTCTTCATATAAAGTTGTGCATCTATTTCACATGGCTTATACCTGTACTTAACAACTGAAATACCATTTTTTGCACATAACTTAGAAGCTGCTGCCTATCCCTGACAAAGCACACAGGGTTCCCAAGGACCATTTCCCTGAAATACCCTTTCCAGCTGCTAGGCTGCTCTGTAGACAACTGCATCTCATGTGGCTTTCAGCATGCCAGGGAAGAAATTCAAGAGTCTCCAGTGCTCTGATCAGACATAAGCATAGGAGGAAAAAGTGGTAATAGAACCTCAAGACAACAACTTAACAGCATCAATCCCCTGGGGAGCTACAGAAAACTCAGCAGCATCACAACTATGGCAGGGTCCTATCAGCACATCCCCACCTGCAGCTCTGTGTTTGCATCACCAGTCTCTCCACAGCAATTCAGTGTCACACGGCTGCACGCTTCATCCTGCAACTGGCATTTGTTTCTGACTCCTGACCTCTAACTAGACTTCTCCTGTTACCCCTTGGGTCAAGCACGCTCCTCCTGACCCTACAAAATGCTGTCAGTGGGTTCAATCCTTGACTTCACTTCTCTCTTCTCCCCCAACAACGGGGACCTCTGTCCCATACCTGCATGCAACAAGCCTCCGGGCACTTTGCCCTCGAAGGTGTCATGACCCTGGACAGAGACACGGGTTTAACCGCGTGTCACTAATTAAGGGAACGTCTCTGCAGCTTGAGAACTGCAGGATTGCCAGTTCTCACCCTTTCTCGGTCATTCTGGGCTCTGGCTTGTGTTTGCTCCTTTTTTCCCCAGAAAAGAGCCCTCTCAGCTGGGGCAGGAAATGTCAATGCTGGCAGCAATTTAACCCTGCTGATTTCAGAGCTTGTCAAGGGCTAAGTAGCAAGAAGTGATTACGGGATGGGCAGATTTCCGTCTCCCAAAGGCAGGGGCAGGAAGGTCAGAGAGAAAGTACCAGGCTTCAGCAGATGACAAAGGAAAGCATTGGAGGCCTACAGCCATCCATAGACAAAATCAGATGCAGGAAACATTTCAAGCAGGCAGAAATGACAACCTAGGCTTTTTTCTTAGATTTGCTGATCAGGACAGATCTAGAGAACTGCATACTTCAGGTCCAAAGGAGGGAATTTAAAGAGTGAAGATTTAAATGGAAAACAAAAATGCATATATATATTTTTTAAACACAATCTGAAAAAAGTCTGTGCTTTCAAAATCATACAGTTTTTTACAGTTGTATATTTGGGCAGCAACACACACCTTCTGATCCAATCACTTCTGAATTAAAGTTATTTTCTAGCACTCTGGATCTGAAATCAAGCACCCACAGCTTTTCAATATTCTCTCTTCCTTTCTCCCTTTCTTCAAACTTATGCAAGAACAATACCTTTCTAAATGTATCTCCCTAGTGAAGATGTAAAAATATATAGTATCATTAAAAAGGCATCAATGCTGTACCACTGTAAAGTGCTCTTTGCTCTCCTAATAGCACCATGTGGAAGTGAAAAACAGCTGGATCCTTTAGTAGTTTGTATTTTTCCTTCTGAGGATTCTCAATTAAGAATTTTTGACTTGCTTGTTACAAAAAGCATTAGAACTAATTTGCATTACTTTGGTCATTTTTCATAAAGATGAAGATTTATCCCTCAAGTTAATCCATGATACAAGCAGTTATCCCACTACAACTCTTCAGTAAAAATAATAAGGAAGCCAAGTCAATAGAGTCATTATCTAGATCTCAGCAGAGCTGGGCTAATCTATATGTAATATGGGAAGCCCCAAAACACAACCACAAAGCAGCAGGCATAAAAGCATCAGCTTTTAAACTCACGTATAGAACTTCCCACTGTGTCTTGCAGAAACGTGATGTTAGGCTTCCACTGAATGAGACTAACACACTATTAGAAAAGTTTATTCTTTCCACTACTGCAACGAAAGCTTAGGCATTCAGCAGCACAGACCTCTGCTACCACTTCGAAAAGCAGATCTGTTGCACGATCTCCAGTGCAACTTGTGAAACTGAAGTGGAAAGTGCAGTAACTTAATTCTTCACGGAGCAGGAGCTATTTTTGCAGCTGAGTGGGTCTCTGGATAACCTTGCACACTCGAGCAATTAATTCCAGAGTTGAAGGCAACTCTACACTCAAGGATCTTCAAAAGGAAAAAAGAAATCAGGGTGCCACCTTGGGTTCATGACTTTTATTCATAACAGATGCAGGGACCGTAGCCCTCATGGTACTGTGTCAAGTCTGGAGACGTTTTGATGAATTCTGAGCAGATGGGGCATAAACACAATCCCTCAATCACACACGTTTACTGTCTATCAAGTGATTGCACATTCCCCAAAACCATACTGGGGTTCAGCATTTGGATCTCTGGAATACTTCATCTTAATGGCCTAGCACTGAAAATTCCATCGCCTCCTACCCTTTTTTTTTTTTTTTTTTTTTTTTTTTTTTTTTTTACACCACGATACCTGCCACAACATAAAGCAGCCAGAAACAAGCCACCAAATCTGAAACCCCAACCAAGATGTCAACAGACTTTTCCAGTGACCTGACATGGAGGCATGCTTAGCCTGATCCAACACCAACCCTCCCACCCACATCTTCCCACCACAGGATGGCATCCCTGAGGCTGGAGGATTCTGTGGTCTCATCTATTTTTTTTTTCCCTCCTTTTTTTCCTGGCGCTTAGAGTGATTCAAACTACTGCCTGCCCTTCAGCCTAGTGCTTTACTGCTCTGCAACCAGGTAGAGAGAAAGTAAACCCCTCTGCTTGATTAAATGATTGTACTAAATCTTCTAGCCCACTGGAAGTGAACTGAGTTTGTTAAAAGGAAGTCGCTTTTTTTTTTTTTTAATCTTATATAATCACTTTCAGGGGATTACCTAATACACCTGTTCTATCTACCATACAACTCAAACTAAATTACAGACAAATCTAATGTGTAAAACAAACAAACAAAAAACACAACTCATCCTACTTAAACCACTCCAAGGTGATTTATATGAACAGAGAGGTAAATATTAAGGTGACCAACACATCTGCTTGACAACCCAAAAAAAGTGACTTAACCATGAAAGTCTGTGGCCTAACTTATGCTGTGTGTGTGTGGCACCAAACACAACTGGCTCCTGCCCTGTACATATGACTCCAGCGTACTGTTATCATTAAAGTACTGTTTGCTTGTGCTAACAGCCTCTCCCCATGCCTGGGAGCAGGGAGCAAATCATCAGCTGCTCCGTAAGAGATGCCCATGACTCGCTGTAATTTCAGAGCTATATTAAGAAGAAGGTACAGTCATTATACAAGTGAACATGGTTATTTCCACTGCAGATGGTAGTTAATTTCCTGCCTGTTGCTGTTCCATAGACGGGAGGACAAGCACCAACAGGGGAAACATCCCTGCTGCTGGACTGCAACACAGGACAGTGGTGGCCAACACTGTCCACAGCCCTACCACACAACGCACGGCTGGGCTCTCCCCACCAACAGACGGAATTTGGCCCCATCTCTGCTCAACTATCAGCAACTCATTTAGGTACCTACATAAGAGTCAAGCGCATCTATCCCATTCTACAGAACTGGGACAACACAGGAAGATTTTACCCACAGCAAGTCCATGGGAAACAGGCGTAAGTGCAAGAGGGAGCTCACCGCAGACACTTTGCTGACAACATCCCTTGCGACAGCAAGGCCCTGCGCGAAGGTGCGGGCCGCCACAAATGCTCGTGTCACTTGTAGCTTGAGCTTGCGCGGCACATCCCCAAAGGGCTTCAGCTGCTCTGTGTACTTGCTGACGCACTCGAGGTACTCGTCCGTGAAGTGGTACTGCGGGTTTACCAGCCGGAACATGCGCTCCAGCAGGCGTGCCCAGAACTCATTGAGCATCTCCTCTAGGTTGACGTTGCCACCCACAGTAGTACCGCTTCAGCTCCACGAAGAGGTCCTTGAACAGCTCCGAGTTCTGCATGTACAACCGGCCGTACGTCCTCACGAACATGTCGTTCAGCGACTTCTCAGCATTTTCAAGAAGTTCTTTGAAGAACTCTACAAAACAGCAAAAGAAGCCATGGTGAACAATAGCATTGGGTTGCGCACTTGCACACTGCTTACCTTGAAAATCCGGTGCAATGAAACCATCCTCAAAATGAAATGGATTTCAAAGAATTTCTGTATCAAATACTCAAAGGATTTCTATATCTCCAAATTATTTTCATAAATAAATGATTCTCAAAAAAACCCTGTTCCCAATCCTAAGACTCGGGTGAGTGAAATATCTTTTGATCCATACTAAAAACCATGAAAAAAGTCAGCAAACTGAAAAAAAAAAAAAAACAAAACACAAACTGTTTTTTTACATTACCTTTAAGATGGCTGAAAATAACTTATTTTGGAGCATAACGTTATCAGAAATCAAAATGTGTTTTGCTTTAAAACAGCTGTTTTGAACAAAGTGCATCTTTCTTTTCAGTTACTGTTGATTCATTTTATGGAATAATCATAAACCAGCCTAAAAAAATTAACAAGTTTAATAGATTTTTAAAAACAGACCCAAAAAATCTACCTTTGGGTTCTTTCTCCTGTCTTTCAAGTTTGTCAGATCTCCGGGCAGGGCCTGTCTCCAATTATGTAATTGCTCCTGATTGCAGACAGGGCTTCATGTGTTTGTGGCAGTACAAAGAAAGTGCAATTAAGTGAGAATTTTCTCAAAATCCAAAGGCTGAACACTTGACACTGACAAGAAGGCCAAGAGATTTTTCAGATGACAGAAAATGGTTGGGGGCCTTGGGGTTTCATGGCTTTCAAAAAGCAAACCCCAGCTTCAGTTCACTGTCCGAGAGCACCAGACAGACCGGTGCCGGAGAACAGACACTGCTGAAACACCATCACTGCCTCTTGGCAGTGCCACACACACCTCTGACGCTGGTAGTGAGTTGAGCCAATGACATCTGGCCAGGTCAATTTAAAGAATATTCCCCACACCAAGTCAGGGCTGCCAAAGCCTCGACACTTGGGGAAAATGCTTTGTTTCTGATAGACGAAAGTGCAGGTATCACTGAGGTAGTTTGGACACAGAGAATAAGCTGACCCACACCAGCACAAACGAAAAGGAATCCTGCTCCCATAAAAGTGGCAACAGTACAAATAAAGAAAAAACAAATAGCATTTAGGTAGCTCTGATGAAAAATCACCCACCCTACTGGATAGACTTCACCTTGGATATGCAACACAGAAGAGTTAAAATGAAAAAACAGGGGAGGGGTCCACTAAGTCAAATTCATTTGGGCCATTTTGTAACAAAACTCAACATTATATGGGCGTGGGAAGGAGCTAAGGAGACCAAGAGTAAGTGCCACAGGGACTTCCATCATTCTGGCGACCAGCACACACTCCTCATAGCTGAGGTTTTCCCTGCCTACCCAACAGGATCTGCAAAACTCCCCCAGGCAAACAAAAATCATGCAGTGTGGGTGCCTGGTGCTCACCATGTGCTCCCAGCACCCAGGGTGCAGCTGTGCCGCTGCCCCACGTCGCAGGGATGAGGGAACCAGTTATTTTATGCATGCCATTCACAACTGAGGATTCTGACCTCTGCTTTTCTGTAACTCATATTCAATAAATATTTTTTAATAAAACATGCCTCTAATTTTTTTTTTAATCCTCAAAGGAGTAATGTTTAGAGACAGAAGTTGTTAGAAGGAGGGGGTAATATATTCTGGCGCGGTGTGAATTTAAACCTTGTTAAAACGTATTAAAAGTATGCTGAAGTTCAGATTTTAGTCTTCAAAGTGCTCCAGTACAAACAAAGACTAACACAGAAAACATTTTCTGGAAAAACTGAAACATTCTTCGAGTTCCTGACGAACAAAGTCATGGGGTTTGGTGGTTGACATAGCTGTATATAATGCAGCCTCTTAGGAGCACAAGAGAAATGATCCAGGGAAGAAGAGATTGATTTCAAACACCCGACACGTCCTCTGTCCAATATCAGCAGGAACCTCCACTTTCGTTCCCATGACTGGCATTTCCTCTCCAGGAAGATTTTTTTCTGTTGAGTTTATACTACAGAGATTAGGTTGGTGTATATTAATTTCTAATTCACTTAATCATTGTGAAGGCTCACTTCCTTCCTTTGCTCAGACCTTTTAATATCACCAAATAACTTGTTTATTTAAACACTTTAGTACCAGGCACAAGAGCTGGCAGATGCATCAGCAAAACTCTTCAGCAAGAATTATATTTTGAAATGACATTGATGTGAAATCTATTATTTTCAACTGTCAGTCGAAAGGAATCCAAATGAATGTTTTAAGCCAGGAAAGTTATAATCTTGATACATCCATTATTTTATTGGTTACAATCCAAACAGAAAGTTGAATAAACTGATCCAAGCTTTAGATCAATTCATCTCTTTGCAAATTTTAATCTAGGCTAGAACCAGGTATGTTCATTAATTATCCTAAAGCAAGAACACTAATTAGCTGTTAATATCTGTGCACCTGCAGTCTTATAGACAGCAGCTTTTACTTGCTTAAAAGGAAGGTAAATACAGGAAATGAAAGCTTCCCACCAGAACCAGCCATGTCTAAAACCCCAACACAGCACTACTGAAGGAAGTACCACGTATGTGCAAAACTGTTTCTGGCTTGAGCACCAGCAATCATTTTCATAGTCAGGAAACACACATTCAAGTGCCACTCCCCAGCTCAGAAGAGGAAAAGGACAGAAGAGCCCCCGTGTTTGCAACACAGAGCTGGCATTCGCCCTCCTGCCCTGCAAAGCTTCCCCTCAGCATCCTCAGCACAGCCCAGACTGTGCCATCTGGGGCACCCTGGGACTGGCATGGGTGGCTTGGCTGCATGAGGCCTCACTGTGCACGTGGAGGCTCCTGGGGTGGAATGAGAGGTTGAGAAGCCAGAGAAGACAGCCACTGAGTACGGCACTATGGCAAAGGGTGAACCCCACACCAGCAAGCAGGGATGGACGAACAGCAGGACAGTGCGCAATGTCTAGTGCAACGTACGGTCATTGCATTAGCACTCTTAACTCGGTCAGCAGCAGGGATTAAATGGTAGATACGTGTTTTACTCTGGCTGTTGGCACATATCAAGTCTGCAGCCTCAGTTTCTGTCTTCTATCTTAAAGAAATCAGCTTTGGCACAAAGGAACATCAAACTTTTCTCTGCATAAACCATGGGCAAAGACATCTGCAGTGAAGAGAGGGAGTTACACTCTCCAAAAGTCCTTTTTATGACTTTAATGCTAAACTGTCTAGTAATTCACTCCATCTAATTAGATATTAATTCGCCCCTTCACAGAAACAAGCTGATTAGCAAACGCCAGTGTAACCCAGCATTAACCTTGCCACCACAAGAAGAAAAATGGCAGGTTCCTCTCTTACGTCTTGACTGTTTGCTGGGTAAAATAAATGACCACCTTTCATTTGTATTAGAAGTTGACTTGTTCTCAAACAAAGCAAACACACAAAGGACTCGGTTGCTTATTTTACAGCACTGTAAAAGCACGTTTTACAGCTGTGTTGCAAGCAATCTGTACTCATTAAATTATCACTCTGACAGGCTTCCTGTGAAAAGCTGTCAAATGCAAACATTTTTCACAGACGACAAATCATACTTTGCCGGTGCTCTCTGAGACTCTGCTATCCAGAGAGATATCAGGCTCTCATTTGCCTACCAGTTATCTTGCTTAAACTCACAGACCAAGGGGCAGGGGAGCCTCTAACAAACAGGCAAAATCAAGGAGCCAATTCAAATCAATTGGGAAGGGTTTCACAAACTGATTCCCAGGAGCATCAACGTGGTTTTCAAGGAAATCTCACACATCCCATCTTCCCAGTCTCCTAGCTAGTAGCAGAGCGTGTAGAGTTGTCTGAGTTACATGGAGAAAATTGCCACTTCGCTGGGTTTAATCTTTACAGATACAGGTCACAGGCATGCACTGGCAGGACTGGGGCACAGACTGGGTCTGCTGGACAGACAGAAGATTAGACACTGGGAAGGACAGACAGTGGCACCACATTCAGGTGGGTCCATCAGCTCTGGTCCAACCCATGAAAGACAGAGCTGCATAAAATTAAGGGACAGCATCTGTGGAGCTCTTAGCAATGCAGAATTCTCACAGGAACAGAAGTCACTTGAAACAGGAATCCTCTGCAAGCAGTGTTCCTGAAAACCCACTTATGAGCCACCTCTGCTGATCACTCTGCATTTGGTATCGGTGTTATTCATGACTTTACTGAACACTGCAAACTATGAGGAGGTGTATAATGAGCTGTCACCTCCCTAAGAATTCTCAGTGCTGCCTTCCCAGCACCTTACATACTGCTTATAAATTTATTTCTGCTTGCACATTTTACTACTTTGCCCATCTCAGCTGAGCCCCACTGATGCAAAACCATCTTCCAGCTCAGGAAGGTGCCCCAGAGGAAGAAAGCAGGGCTCAGCCATGCCATCCCTCTGCAAGGGTACCAGTGTTGCCATCCACAAAATGCAGCTGAGCTGCCCTGTAGGATACCAATTCAGAAAACCTTTCCTAATGCAAAGACAAAACTTTCAAATTTGTAAATAAATCCTCTGGACCCTATGGACTTTGATGCTCAGAGGAATATGACATTTCTAATGCAGGTTGACTTCTAGAGATAGAAAAGGATGTAATCTGCAGTCAGGCGATCTACAGCTCTGGGCTCTGTTTATTCTTTTAACACATTTGAATTTCAGTGTAGAATTTCAATGCCAACACTCAGGGAAAACCTAGGGATGTCATGAAACAGTAAGAAAGACTGGACGTGAGATATATGGTATTTCTGTAATAAGAGTCCTGGAGGAAAAGAAATCCCTGCTTTTAAACAAACCCTCCATAAAAGATTTTTCCACAATAAGAAAACTTAACCATAGTTACTTGGCAATTTCCTTTTTTCAGGTAACAAGACGTATTACCTGTTTGCAGCTTGAGGGCAGACCAGCTCTGCCAGTAACCCAGCACTGGAGAATGCTGCACCCCCCCAAAGGTGCTTCCACCACCAGAAT